GAATTACAAGTAATAACTGGGAGTACGTAGAAAGCAAGGACCCTAGCCGGCGCGCCCCATCTCCTCCCTCCTTTCCTTTTGTGATGTTCCCTCGGGATTCATATGTACGGTACGCACACCACCACTCTCCAGCGACGGCGTTCCAGCGGTAGCTGTAGCTCGATACGACTCCCGCATTTTTTTGTATTCTCTCTAATGAATTTTGCTACTATACGGTATGTTCATGGAACATCGATCGCGTCCTTCACTGCACCGGCACCTTTTTGACAAGCTAAATTTCAAAGGCTTCCACCGTCTCTGACTACAGTGCAAATGCATGCGCAGTAGAGAAGCCGACAAGCCCCTAAAACTAAACCAAATTAAAGGAGCCCTCATGGTTTGGCCCTACGTCTGCTTTCAAGGGAAACACCGGATAAAACATTTGCAGCATACGTCTGAAAAGCAGATGAAACGCTTTAAACATGCATGTATAGATATTGCAACATGTGCAACACCAAGATCGATCTACTTTTGAAACATCCAAATGAAATATTTGCAACATACGTGTCAAACACTTGAAACATAGGCTTCAACATGCATATATTGTCATTGCAACATATGCAATATACCAGATCTACTTTTGCAACATCCCGATGAAACACTTGAAACATAACTTTGAAACGCCTAAAACACTTAAAACACAGTGTTGAAACAACGTTGTGTTCGCCGCGCGGGCCTAGTGGGGATTGGAGTGGCAACGACGGGAAGGAGGAGGCCGAGGAGGGCCGCCGCCTCAAGGGTCCCCTGCGAGGAGCGCACCATATCCTAGGCCGCCCCCCGCCGTGCGCTGCTACAACACCCTCTCCATAGCCGATAGCACGAACCCATCGGAGCCGACCGCCCGGGCAATGACGGCGTAGCGGGGGACGTAACGTGCGTGCGTGTGGTGGGGTGGGGGTGGGGAGGAGAGGAGATGGGGCGAACGCAACGCAATGGGCAATGATGGAGCACCAAAGCGTGCGGGATGGGAGAGCTTGAGCAAGCGTTGCAAGTGAGAGGGATGGAAGCGAACGGGCGGGATGGGGCTTGAGCGAGCAACGGGTGAAGGCAGCAGCAGCTAGCACAGAGTGGGCGCGGCATCCGGGAGAGGACGGGGATGGAGGCGCCGTGGGGAATAGAACAAGCAGGCGGGGATTTTTTTTTTTTTTTTTTTGCGGGAACACGTCTGGACGGGGTCACGGGACAGACGTCATTATCCTATTATTATTGATATTGGAAAGGTTACGATAAGAAGTTGCGGTAATAAATTTTGTTCCACAAAATGTTATATATAAAGGTTACGAGTATAAGTTTATAACTTTTCTAAAGAATAAAAGTCGCGGAAACTTTTTTCCGCAAAAAGAAAAGAAAAGTCATGCAGGTTTATCTGATGGTTCGCTTTACCTTCTAGCAAAAGGAAATAGGAGACAAGGAAAGCTGGTGAAGCCAAACTTTGAAAGGCTTCACCGAAGAAGCCCTGACACAGCAATTCTCGGCCAGAGAACGAGGACAGCCGAAGTCGGCCTTCGATGCAGTGTGGTGCGGATGTTCTTGTTGTCCATCTCATGCTATGCATCCCTCCTCCGAAAAAAAAAAAGATAAAAAGAACTGGTAAATGCGCATCATCGTAGCGACCTAGCCCCACGATGTCGATGCCACGAACTTAGCCCCAGGTTGATTCCATTCCCACATCCTCAGCTCGATCCGCGCACAGTCTATTCAATGTTGTTATCACAAAAATACTAATCAATGTGAACAGAGAAACAAAAGGTATATCTTTTGATGTTATATTCAGTTATATAGTACGTTTCACGAGCACTTTTGGCCTCGGACCAATAGTGGAGTAGTGACTTTTTATATATTCAAAAAACACTTCTATTATGCTCGTTTGCTACGACTTATCTAACCGATGGTGTCTTTTCAAGGAAACTAGCCAAACGATCCTACAAATCACACGTCTATTATATTGTGACCATAATACAACTTAGATATTCTTAACCTCTGTTCCACTCATGTATACTACGTTAGTCTCAATATAAGGTTTGATAAGAGTGTTATGGACATTAAATAAGTTGAGGCAAGACACGAGAGACGTACCCCTACTATGAAAATAGCATTGACAAAAACAAACGTCATGTTCGCTTAGCTTATAAGCCGTACTTTTTCAGCCAACGAACAGTATTTTTCTCTCATAATAAATCAGCCAACAGTACTTTCAGTCATGGCTTATCAGCCAAGCGAACAAGACATAAAGTTCAGTACAAACAAGGGGAGCGGGGAGCCTAAAGAGATTCAAGAAACAAAGAAGGAAAGGGGAAAAAAAAAGAAAACTAAGAAGATTAAACAAGATTGTTTAACCATAGCCCAATAAGTGGGAAAGCAGTGAAAATTCTGTCTTGGACGTCCTTTTTACATCTTCCAAGGAAGGCTGAACTTGATCGAAGATTAGGGCATTTCTTGCCTTCCAGATGGCCCAACACACTAGGATAAAGATCTCCATGAAGAAAAGAGCCCGTTGCTGTATTTTGAAGCTCTCTAAATTCTAGTATATATCAGATTGATGGAGAACCTCAACACTTAGACAGTTCCAACATCCTGTAGCAAAGGGACAGTGGAGCAATAGATGTACCAAAGATTCCTCCACTAGATTGTTACATAGGACACAACTGTAATCTAGAAGTTCCATGCTTTTTCTTCTTAGCAATTCTCTAGTACTTAGCAAAGGGAAGTTCCATGTACCAAAGATGCGGCATGGCATTGATGAAGAAAGATAAAATTGAAGTTTGATAGAATGAAATGAGTTTTGTGGAGATGAAACTTGTCTGCACTGTTTTCCAACACATGGGAGTCATGGAAACAGTGATGAACATCCACGGAGACTAGCCTTACGCCATCGAATCTGACTTCACCAATGTTTTTTATCGTAGTATGTGTTCCGCCATTGACGATTTGAAAGTTCTGTCTTGCTCTTATATTTGCCATCTTGTGAGCTATCTTGCTGGAGGCGCAATATATCATCTTCACCTCTTATACCATTTAGGCTGTGTTTAGTTCGCGAAATTTGAAATTTTGGCTACTGTAGCATTTTCGTTTTTATTTGGCAATTAGTGTTCAATCATGGACTAATTAGGCTCAAAACGTTCGTCTCGCGATTTTCAACCAAATTGTGCAATTAGTTTTTTTTCGTCTATATTTAATACTCCATGCACATATCGCAAGATTCGATGTAATGGCTGCTGTAGCATTTTTTGGGAAATTTTTGGGAACTAAATACAGCCTTAATCTTATGGCCCTGCTTGGAACCGAGTATAATTGGATTTCTGAGCGCCCCACCATGAGAATAAAAAAAAGTCCTACCAAACGTCTCATGGTGCCCGTGATTCTTGTGACCACCCGTAAGGAGAAAAATCGAAAAATGAACTATACCACCGATTCTCTGTATCGCGGCCTCGGAACCGTGGATGGGATACCGCACCATGTGGTCGCAGATTGTGGTTCCAAACAGGGCCTATGTTGTGCTCACCGATTGATGGCTTCATTGGCATTTTTGTCGTTGCTAGAGGTTGCGTTGATATATAGGTGTGAACCACTTTGCTTCCGATGGATTGTGTAGTTTCGTTGATGTCGATTGTGTCGATAGGCAATTTGATAGAACAGCTACCACTCCGCAGCAAGTGTCACACACAGGTTTTGCCGTCACATTGAGTACTAGCAGGTCGTGCCCTTTCTCCGTTATTACAGCCTTGGCTAGAAGCTAGATAGACTGAGAGACTTGAACGCTTGTATCTTTCCGCAAACACACATGGAACCTGCCCTGGGTGCGATCGCCGCCCACTGGCCGGTGGCCAGCGTCGCTAGCTTGGAAACAGCAAGCGCTTGCGGCGTGCCCCCGTGCACCACGACCTTGAACCCACCGGTCGTCACCTGCGCGACCACGGCGAACGCTCGACGTGGACGCCGACCAGACTGATTAACAACTGCTGCAGCGACGGAAGACGGAACTGCTCTAGAGCACTCCAGTCCAGTCCGGCCGTTGCGACGACGACGAAGCTAGAGCTAGCGATATGATAGAAGAAGACGCAACGTCGCGCTGTCGAGTCGCGGAGAAAACCGTGGGCCGAGCGCCGCCCCAGCAGATGCAGATCCAGCCGCCCGCGAACAGACACCGGCGGGCCGGCGGCGACACGATGAAGCCGAAGCCGCGCGCGAGGAAAAGGCGAGAGCGACGGCGCGGGATGCCTGTCCTCCCAAAAGGGGAAGGGGATGAACCTCGCAAAGCCGCTTTCCCCAAAGACTCTAATCCGTTCATCGGTCCACCAGCTGGGTGCCCGGGTGGGTTGCCAGCGAACGAGATGCTGATCGCATGCGCCGCGCCGGCGTCTCACCCTGGCCGTCCTGCCGCCCGGGGTGGCCACTAGCTCGGAAGGATCGCTAGGTCATTTTACCGGCGCGCCAATGAACCAGGTCGGCGTCGGTCGATCCGTCGATGGATGGATGGATTGGGTGCAATGCTACAGCAACAACAACAACAACATGAGCCCGTTCGTTTGACGTGGTTTGTCGTAAACGATCACAAATTTTTAATCTTTTCTCACACAAACCATCCGGCAATACTTCTTCACGATTCACAAACGATACGAACCAGCTTGAACAGGCTGATGCATGGCCAGGCACTTGCCGGCGCTAGCTAGCTAGTTGCGCGCCGCGACAGCAGCCACCACCATCGCACAGGCGCAGAGCTAGTTATAACCCGACAGGCGTCCAGGCCCCTGCACGCCACACAAAGCTATACTACTAGTCTATGGCCAGCGAGCTAGTAGTAGGCAGCAGCGAAAAGCCAAGCAACTCTTGATCCGTTGCGTCCATTGATGCTGGGTCTGGGTGGACACACGGGCTCCGGCGACGACGGCGACCCTGCACGCGCACGTCGCGTCGCTGTCATCATCCAGCTACGACATGCACTGTCGCTAGCCTACCTACCACTACACTACTACACGCCCTCCGCCGGTGGCGGCCACCACGAGGCGCTTCCTCTCCTCGGCGTCGTCGTCGTCGTCGTCAGCGGCTGCGGCGGTGGTCGCGGCAGGGGCGAGCTCCAGCCCCGCCAGCTTCTTGGCGCGCATGGCCTCGACGCGCCAGTCGGTGCGCCACACGACGGCGGCGAGGACGAGCGCGACGCACGAGGCCTGCGCCGACAGGAGGCCGTACCAGAGGCCCCGGAACCCGACGCCGGGGGCGCCGAACGCCAGGTACACCGCCACGGGGGTGCCCACCAGGTAGAAGGAGAGGAGGTTGATCCGTGCGCCCACGGCCGGGCGCGCCGTGCCCCGGAGCACCCCGCAGCCCGTGGTCTGCGGGCAGTTGCCCAGCTCGCACAGACCCACCACGGGCATCGCCGCCGACGCCAGGCGCACCACGCCGGGCTCCGTCGTGAACAGCTCCACCCACCGCCTGCTCAGCGCCACCGTCCACGCCACGTGCACCGCGCCAATCGCCAGCGCGCACCACAGCGCCACCAGCGCCGCCATCCGCGCGCGCCGCGGCTTCCCGGCGCCCAGCTCGTTGCCCACCTGCATGCATGAGCATAGCGTCACAGTGAAGCTACAGTAGACGTCGCTGTGCTGCCGAGATCTTTGTTGCTGTTCTCCTATGGTTGGCGTGCCAGCCATTCTTGTCTGTTCTTGGAACTCAACAGAGTAAAAAACGAAGCCCAACAGTGTGTTGCAGCGAGCAGCAGACGGCTCGTGGTCTGCGCACTAGCCAAGCTAATCTTTTCATGGCAGCTACAAGCCACCAGTGGCTGTCCCTGTGCTGCAATGCAAACACTGTGCAACACAACGCACAGTGACATGAGAAGACCAACCCCCAACGTGGCATTGTCGTTTTCCCATGCTGTAAAAATCGGTGTGACTGTATCTAGTAGTAGGAGTAACTTCCATGGGCGGGGTTAAAATGAGGCACCTGCGAATCTACCAAACAAGGGGACCGCCATGGTTCCCTGCGTGTTTCATCAGCTTTATTTACGAACATGAAAACATGGATGGCCACACCATGTTCCATGTTGTTGCATTCTTCAATTGAAAATTGAAAAGGTAAGCCTTCCTTTTTGGTTGGAGCCTACTTATGTATGCATGGAAGGAGTGCATGTACTTGACGTGTTAGCGCACAGAAGTAGAGCAGTGTAGGGGAATATGGAATGGTGCACCACACATGTGGAGACCAATTTGAGATGCCCAAGGATGGCAATAGGAGGAAGCAGACTCACCATGCACAAACTTGTTGCTTTGTTATTACTTTGGCAAGAAAAAAGAGAGTAGCTTTACTACGTGCTAGTATAGGTACAACTAAAACTCTGCAATGGCTCTGAATTGCGTGCTAAGGCCGTGTTTAGATTGCAAATTTTTGCAATCTAGACACTGTAGCACGTTTCGTTTGTATTTGACAAACTTTGTCTGATCATAAACTAACTAGACTCAAAAGATTCGTCTCGTAATTTACGATCAAACTGTGTAATTAGTTTTTTTTACCTACATTTAATACTCCATGTATGCGTCCAAAAATTGATGTGACGAAGAGAGTGAAAAAACTTGAAATTTTGAGGTAATCTAAACAAGGCCTAAAACTTGCTAAACAAATGCATTGTTCAGGAACAGGACATGTTAAATTCAAAGAGAGAGGAATCTGAAGAAGAAGAGAGAGAGAGAGAGAGAAATGTACAGAATCCTGATTTACTATGCTGAAAGCAGAGTTTATCTCCAAAAGAAAATCTTTGAAGTTTTGGTCCACGTCACGAGCCTGCTAGCTCAGTCAATCTCGGCACAAGTAGTCAAAGTTCCGTGGCATGCATGCATGGTGATAGCTGAAAAATCACAGCCTCGCGGACCGACGAGCAAAACGCCGGTCCTGCGTGCGACCGCGATGTGAACCTGGCGAAAGCAAATCTATGGACCCGATCCAAATGGGCAAGAAAATCCGGCGCAAAGATCTCGGCATCTATACGAATACGATCGGTTTTTCGTTTTCGCCGATCCATGTTTGAGGGTGATATATCGATGGAGGAGAGGGTGCTTACCCGGGTGGATACGCAGGCGGCGAGCGCCATGGGCACGGTGTACATGAGGCTTGTGGTCTGGATGAGCACCCCGGCGGCGCCGACGGCGGCGGCGGGGTTGGGGAGGTACCCGGCGAGCACGGTGACGACCTCGTACCACCACCACTCGAGGCAGACGCCGACGCAGCTGGGCACGGCGAGGCTGGCGAGCGCGGGGAGGCCGCTGGCGACGGCGGCGGGGCGCGCAAAGCCCTTCCAGGTGCCCTCGCAGGCGCGCGCCCAGCGGATGTAGGCCAGCAGGAACAGCAGCATGTTGGTGTTGGTGAGCGCCTGCGCCGCGGCGACGCCGCGCACGCCGAGGCCCATGCCGAAGACGAGACCGACGTTGAGCGGGACGTGCAGCGCCACGGCGATCGCGGAGCACGCCGCCATGGGCCGCGTGATGCCCTGCGACCGGAGGTACACGCGCAGCGGCTGCAGCACGGCCCCGGCCGCCAGGTCCGGGAGCGCGAACGCGGCGTACGACGCGGCGTGCGCCGAGATGGTGGGGTCCTGCCCGAGCGCCACCAGGATGGGCCCCACGTTTAGCCACAGCAGCGCGATGGGCACCGCGGCGAGGAACAGCAGCAGCACGGCGCGCTGCACGGACAGCGTCAGGAGTTCGTAGTTCCGGGACCCGAACGCCTGCGCGCACAGCGGCTCCAGCCCCGACGCGAGGCCGAACAGCACGCTGTGGCCCGTGATGTTGGTGAGGCCGATGGCGAGCGCGCCGCCCGCCAGGTCCAGCGGGCCCAGGCGGCCGAGGCACAGCACGGACACCATCGCGCGCAGGTACACCACGCAGTTGAGCGCCGTGATCGGCGCCGCCATGCCCCACAGTGAGCGCAGCTCCGCCGCCACCGACGGCTGGTCGTCGACGCCAGGCCACACCGCCGCGTCGACGGCGTCGACGGCGTCAGCCTGGCTGCCGTCCTTCGTCGCGTCATGCCGCGGCAGCGCCTTTCCCGGCAGCGGGATGGCCATGCCCAGCGACAAGGGAACGGATGTCTCGCGTCGTCTCTCTGCTACTAGTGCTCCATGTGAAAGAGGCAGGCAGGCAGAGGAGGCAGGCAGAGGAGGGGAGTGGGGATGGCTTTGGCTTGCCTTCTGCCTTGTGCCGGTGCCGGCTATATATATGTGGTCGGAGCGAGGTTTAACCTGCAGGCTGTGCTTAGTATATTTATAATTACTGTACTGATCTGAATCTGACCAGGAGTTTAGCCTGGCCGTTGTTGTTACCATGATGGTGCATGAGACTTAGGTTACATGAAACACGCAGCAGTTTCGACGTGCCAGTTGACTGTTGCTCCATGGTATTCTGCGACTATAAAGACACTGTACCGTTAAAAACTTACTGTATTTGGCTGCAGGGACTAAAGGTCGGGTTTAAATCTATGGTGTAAATTTTAGGGTGTCATATGGCGTATTCGGATACTAATAAAAAAATAAATTACAGAATCCATCAATAATCTACGAGAAAAATTTATTAAGCCTAATTAATCCGTTATTAGCACATGTGGTATTGTAGCACCACATTGTCAAATCATGGACTAATTAGGCTTAAAAGATTCGTCTCGTAAATTAGTCACAAACTGTGCAATTAGTTATTTTTTAGTCTATATTTAATACTACATGTGTCCAAACATTCGATGGGATATGGAGTAAACTTTAGTTAGAGAAACTAATCAAGACCAAAGTTTAAGATGTGTCACATCGGGTGTCATATGGGGTGTTCGGATACTAAAAAAACAAATTACAGAAGTCGTCACTATTCCGCAAGACAAAATTATTAAGCATAATTAATATGTTACTGTAGCAACACATTGTCAAATCATGGACTAATTAGACTTAAAACATTCGTCTCGCAGATTAGTCTCAATCAGTGCATTTAGTTTTGTAATTAGTCTATATTTAATACTCCACATGTGTCCAAACATCCGATGTAATAGCGACTAAAGCTTAAGAAGTAGAACAAAACATCCCCTTAGTGGGGATTAAAAGGAATCAAAGAGGGATTGATTGAATCATAAGTCAAAGCATTTCTTCGATCTCCTTACGGAGGAGATTGATCGAATAAGCCCTACGGAGAAAATGCCAATGGCGATCACTAACCGCCCTTTTTATTAGACTATTTTATTATTAGAACATATACAATATCACATTCTAGTATCCACTTGTTATGTCACAAAAGATGGAAAGTATGGTTCTACCCGGGGAAAGACGCTTTACGAGGCATATTATTATGCTACAATATCTTATACAATTAGAGCGTGTTTGGTTGCCGCCTAAGCACGCCACGCCTGAGCTTTGCCTGTGCCAAAAATGCAGCATTGATTTCGGGTGCTGGACTTGCGGCACATGTTGGCGTCAAAATGAATGGGAAAAGGAGGGCAGGGCTGCGGCTTGCCAAAGGTGCGACTGCGATCCAAACAGGCGCCAAAAATGTGGTGCAGGCTATGCGCTGTGGTGCGGTTGCCATCCAAACGCGTCCTTAATTGTTGTGATGTTATCTATGGAGCTAATCTGGAACATTAGATCTTGTGACACAACAAAAGAGACGTCGTGCTTAAGCTATGAGAGTTGACCTGGAGCATTAGATCTTAAGACTCGGCGCTCTAGCCAAAACAAATCCTATTTTGGCTATGATCTTCTCCATTATAATGTTCTCATACGTAGTGTCGGTACAGAAAGTGACCAACTAGTGAATATTTATAGTTTTGCTGTACGTTGTGATCGGAGGTGGCCTAACACTCAATGACACAGGATTTATACTGGTTCAGGCAACGTGCCCTACATCCAGTCTAGGTCAGTCGGTGACTTTATTCCTGAGCTCCGGTACTCGAAGTCTATAGTGGGGTTACAAACGAGAAGGAGAAATGAGGGGTGTACGAGAGGCCCGATCGGGTCCAACCGGAAGGGCCGAGGACAACCGAAACTTTGCTATGAGCTAGGTGTTCAAGCGTGTGCTTGAGGGGTTGCGAGCTATCGATCTAGTGAATCTTAACTTGAAGAAGTGGGCCCTTTTGGTTGGAGGGAGCGCATCCCCTTTTATAAATAAAGGGGATGACTTTACAGGTGAGAGGGAGAGACGGATGTTTTCTAAGTCTTGTTGTCCACGCCGATGAGGACAGTGATGATGGTAGGCACCCACAATACTGTTGATGTCACTGTTGAACGTCAAGTGCAGAGGGGGGTTGCGTTGGCTTCTTCAGGAAGGGTGGACGTTGGTACCTGCAAAATACTGTTGGTATGTGAGGAGCCCTACCACGTGTACCAGGTATGGTGAATCCTGGCGCCCACTATCGATGCCCAGAGGCATGTGGGGGGCCTTTTGCCATACGGGAGTCCAACGGTGCCTACAATACTGTAGGCACAAATGTTGGCGCCTACAATATTGCTTGCGTCAGGGCGGTCGTGGAGTACTGTTCCCACAGGCATACAGGGTATGGTTCCGGTATCGTGGTTTGACTTTGTACGCTGCCTTCTCCGTTCGCCCCTGGTCCTTTTCGAGCGGGCGTCCCCGGTCGGATGGCTCTAGTCGGCCCTGGCCGTGCTAGTCGGAGAAGAGCGGTATGCAAGCTTCATACGGGTCCCCGATCGGTCGCGGGGTCAAAGTAGGAAGCAGCGTCTTGGGCCAGGCCTTCCGATCGGAGGGACCGCCTGGAGGCGGCTGGTACCCAAAGCGAGCGCTCTGGTTGGAGAGGTGGGCTGAAGAAGTTGACGAGCGGGCGTTTGTTCTTTTGGGTAGACCTCCCGGTTGGTGACCGGACTGTCCTCCCGGCCCGTTGTTTCTTAGACTCTTGGGCCGGGCCATGGACTACATGCTGTTTTCCTGGGTCGAGCCCTGGCATGGAAGCCGGTCCCCGAGGGACCCTAGGTTTATGAACCCAACAGGAGCCCCCGAGCCCCCGGGCGATTTGACGGGGGATCTTTGTCTTGACGGCGGGAGCACGCGAGCGCACCCACGGGTGTAGCCCCCAAGCCCCCGGGTGGTTTGGGCAGAACCGCTGGGGGGTTTTCTATGTCGTCAGCGGGGGAGTTTCTTTTTGTTGTGTCGTCGGGTGCGCACGAGCGCACCCGCGGGTGTAGCCCCCAAGCCCCCGGGTGGTTCGGGTAGAACATCAGGGGGGTGTTTGTTTCACCGGGCGTGTGTGCATGTTTTTAGTTTGAGACGGAATTTTTTTTAGCCACGGTGTCGTTGCGCAGCCGAGGCGATTTTTTGGCGTGGAGATGAGACAGAACTTACTGATCCCGGTGTCGGTGCGCGCCGTGGATTGGGTGAGAAGTTTAGTTCGGTGTAAACCCTGGCGTTGGTGTGCGCCATGGATGGGTGTAGCTCGGTTCAGATGTGTCAGAGCTCACTGATCTTTGGCGTCGATGCGCGCTGTGGGATCGAGCGAGGCGGAGCCATGAACGGACCCAGGCGTCGGTGCGCGCCATGGATCGAGAGAGTTTAGTTTAGTTAGTTCAGGAATCGGATGAGCCGGTGCTCTTGATCCTGGGAGCGCAGTCAGAAGTAATGCCGTTACGCGAGTTTAGGAGTCGCGGTCCCAGGTTTTATTGGAGCGCAGTCAGGGGTGAAGCCGTTTGAAGCCGTTACGAGTTTAGGAGTCGCGGTCCTAGGTTTTATTGGAGCGCATTCGGAAGTGAAGCCGTTTGAAGCCAAAGCGTAGTTAGTTGGTTAAAGATTGGACGAGACGATGCTCGTGGATCCTGGCGTCGGTACGCGCCGCGGGATCGGGCGAGTCGAAGTCGTGGATCTGGTGAGTTTGAGGTCACCATCCTTGGCATTTTTCTCGAGCCCCCGAGCCCTATCGGGACTTCGTGGGGGTCGATTGTGAGTATTGTGCATTACCCCATCCTCGGTTCCTCACAACCGGAGGGGGCTGAGTTTCGTCGCCTGTTCCGATCGCTCGGGCTCGAAGACTAGCTCGGTGGGTTTGCTAACGTGTGTGATTGAGTGGAATCCGGGTCTGTCATTCGTGACGAGGGTCGGCATAGCCCTCTTGTGACATTCCACTACTCCTTTACCTACAACCCGACAGATGCCTAGGATGTTCTAGAGACCGACCCGGGTGGCCTAACGGCCTCCCCTTGATGGAGATTCTATGGGCCTAGCGAGAGGTTTAGGATCGAACAAGAAGGTTGAGATGACCCGGTCTGCCGGACCGGAAGAGGGCCGCACGGTGCTCATCTATGGTTTTCTCCCCTGACTCTATTGGTTGCCCATGTCGAATGAGGCAACCACCGCTTCGTGATGCAACACGGATCATTCTGATGCATTTCGCTCCACGTGCGATGCTTAGTTCCCGAGCCCTTAGGCGGTTCAGGGCCCGAATCGTTCCGGGAGGCGCGAGCATATGAAATGAATGCGCGTATGGATGTATGAATGATATAAAGAAATAGAGGGGGTTTTGATAGTGTTTACCTTGACGACTGGAGTCGTGGGGCTCGGAGAGCTTTCAGTCGGAAACGTCCGACCGGGACCCATACTCGTCGTTCGTGACGGAGTCGGCATGGCCTACATGGGGCGTCCCTTCGCTTCCTTCCTGTGTCTTGGTGCAAATACTGGGTGACTCAATCGACTCAGGGGGCGGTTGGGGTCCTGGTGGAGATTTCGTTTTTTGTCTCCCCAGGTTTGTCCTGGGGAAGTGGGGAGCCACCCGCGTGTGGTGACGCTTCGGTTTTCATGCCTAGTCATGCGATAGTGGTGGGCCATACCTAGGCCACGTTTCACCTTGCCAGGCGATGTTCCGTCTGACCCGGCGTTACTTCATCAGTCAGTGTGCATCCCCTCGGCCAGGGCGTGTCCCATCGTTTCCCATCCGCATTGAATGGGGGCAGAGTCTCATGCTCTGATCATCTGCTTTTCCTCTTTAAATAGGGGGAGGGAGAGGGTTCTCCATCGTAGTCCTTTGCCTATTCTCCAACTATTGTCTCTCTTCCTTCTTCCTTCTCACCGAGAGTGCCTGTATGCCATGGCG